TCATAGTGGAAAAACTTGGAAGTCTCTTTGTGCATATGTGCACTTGTGCACGTATGTAGTGATTGTGCGTTTGTAGTGTGTGTGAGTGTGTATAACTCTAGAATTTTGGGTAGTTGAGAGAAGTTCAATATGAGATGTTTCTTTCCCTTCTTTTTTCTCTCATACCCTACTAATGGGCTCCCTGCATCTGGATCCGATGAACCTAAACATAACAGAAAAACCTTTTTCCCAATCTAAGGGTATGTCTAGACTACATGGCTCTGTTGCCAGAGCCATATAGATTAGTTTACTAGACATACCCAAATGAAGCGGTGATTTAAATAATCGCCGCTTCATTTAAATTAAAATGGCTGCCACGCTGAGCCGATCAGCTGTTTGTCAGCTCAGCGCACTAGTCTGGACACTCGCCGTCAACATCAAAGGCATTTGTCGACCTCTCCAGTAAACCTCATCCCATGAGGCATAATGGGGTGGTCGACAAATGCCTTTGATGTCGACCGCGGAGCATCCAGACTAGCGCGCTGAGCCGACAAAAAGCTGATTGGCACAGCACGGCAGCCATTTTAATTTAAATGAAGCGGTGATTATTTAAATCACCACTTCATTTGGGTATGTCTAGTAGACTAATCTACATGGCTCTGGCAACAGAGCCATGTAGTCTAGACATACCCTAAGAGAGCATAGAGCATTGCAGCGGTGGATTGCCTGAAGAAAGGAATATATTTTTATAAACTCTGCTGCAGCCTTCCTGTCCAGCTCAATAGGGTTTAGAAAACTAAGAGCAGATGAAATGTGCGTTGTGAGGAGGAATCATTTTATCTACACACTTGCTTACATTTCCTCAGGTAAGAAGAGGAAGTGTAAGCAAGTGTGTAGATAAAATGATTGCTCCTCACAATGCACTTCTATGTTTTAACTCATATGCTGCACTTAGTACAGGTTGGATCGTCCTCGTCCGGCGCCCTCGGGACCTGATTGGTCCCGGATGAGGGATTTTTCTGGACCGGGGAGGTCATTTCAGGCCCCCTGCTGCCACTCCCCTCCCCGCCCCGCCATGCACACCCCCTCCACCGGGCTTCCTGGCTTTCCACCCCCGCAGCCCAGCTGAGCTGCACACTGGCTCCTGGCTTCCCCCTCACAGACTAACCAGCTCCCAGGCCCCCGCCCTCTTGCAGCACAACAGGACTCTCTGATCCTGGAACATCTGTGGTCATGCCGGATCACCGATGTTGCCGGACCAGAGAATCCCAGATTTTAGAGGTGCAACCTGTAGCACGTTATTGGCACTACGCAACGTAGGGGGTGAAACCCCTGTTGTTTTAATGAAGAAGGAATAGTGAGCTTGTCAAAGAGTATTTCTTTGCAAACCAAGATTTTGAAAGAGGCATTAGGAAGAGATTTGAAGAAGATAATGAAAATACCACAGTTACTTCTTCATGTTATTTATCCGCAGAATTGTATTGTAGTGGTTTCAAGGGAAAGACAAACTGACAACATCTAGCAAATGAGTATTCCTCAAGTATTCCAGAAGAACAGTGAAGCTGGACCAGGTTGCTTTGTCTCCATGCAGTGCTACTTGAATGTGGCCAAAGCAATTGAGGCCAGACAAGAAAAATCTGTCTACCCTTTGCTACAGTGTGCTGGCTGTATTAATACTTGGCAATGGTGTGTTTTGTATAACAATTTGTAATAAATATTTTAAAATTCATTTCCCATAAAAATGAAAAAAAAAACCAACATACAGCTGTACATACAGATTGAAACTGAACCACAGGGGGTCAATATTGTAGTGAGTGGGTTTTTCTTTATTTTTAGTTCACTGAAGCAAATAAATGGAATAGGGCTTGCAATGCTGCTTAATAATGTAAGACTGTACTGATACACTCCATATAAGCCTTTTCCTAGCCAAAGCTTATCAGCTCTCTTCATAATGGAGTGTTAGCATTGTTACACAGTTTTACTGTATCGGTACTAGGAAATAGGATGAAGGATAAAAAGATGCTTATGCTTAGCGGCATGACCAACACTTCCACTGCTTGCTGAGCTCTTAGAAGACATTTAGGAGTAATTTAAAGCTAAATAACAGCACAGAACACTGAGAGCCAGGATTGGTGGCTGTAAACAAACTTTACAGGACCGCAGGAAACTTGTTCACACCCGCAATAAGTAGACAACCAGCTAACTTAAAATCATGCCGGACCACATGTTGTCAGACCAGAGAGGCTTAACCTGAATTACCATGATTAATCTGGGATAGATTCTTTTCTTTAATGGAAAGCTGTCAGCTTTCAAAATCTGGTGGATAGTGGCTGACTGCAGCAGAAGAGAGCTGAGGAGCAATGAAACAAGGGTTCGAAAGTTCTGAAGTTTTCCATCTCCCCATCTCATTTACCACCAGCCATCAGTACTGTGGCAGAACAGACAGTCCCGAGTCTTGGGTTACAAAGCAACGCTCTCTCTAAGCTGAGATCAGGCTGCCTCTCACCACATTTTTCAGCTCCTGGTTCTCACATGCTCTTAACATTTCTGCGTTCTTTGCTGCATGCCTTCTTCTCTGGCCCCTCTATGTGGGTCATGCCAACAGTTGCCAAGGAGTCATAGTTGCCAACTACTTGGACATATGCCTTGTCAGTTTTTAATCAGAGTCAGGAAGTATCAGGGATATGGTTAAAGTATTTCTGTCCAGGAGAAGCATTTCCCTCTCTAGAAGCACTGCATCTCTTCCAAACATCAGCTGGAGGGAAATTGGTAGTTTCTCCACTCAGTGAAATGGCCTCCCATTTGAGAAATTTCTCCATCCCTGTGTTGTCATCTCTGTGCTGTTCTTCCTTTGATATAGGGATTTGGCGTTTCTGTTTCATAGGAGGTGGAACTAAAAATATTATGGCAGTAACCCACTCAGCCTCAAGAATCCCTTCTTGTGACTTCAGGTGTATGCCTAGATATATGCAGGGAAAAATGGTATATAGCAGGGCTCCTGAGATTTGGAAGCCCCAGGGGCCACAATGATTCTCACAGTACATGCTGAGGGCCGCAACTTAATTGAGGTTGCATATACAGGCAGTCCCCGGGTTACGTACAAGATAGGGACTGTAGGTTTGTTCTTAAGTTGAATCTGTATGTAAGTCGGAACTGGCGTCCAGATTCAGACGCTGCTGAAACTGACCGCCAGTTCTGACTTACATACAGAATCAACTTAAGAACCCCAGGCGTCCCCAAGTCAGCTGCTGCTGAAACTGATCAGCAGCTGATTCCAGGAAGCCCGGGGCAGAGCAACTCTGCCTGGGGCTT